TGTTGATGAATATTCTAAGAGCAAGAATCGGGAAGATAAACGAGATACTTTTCTTGACATAAAAAGAGAACTGATGCAGGGCTTTCAGGATTGGCGTAAGCAATATGAAGAGCCCAGTCAGGATGAAGAGTTTTACATGATATCTGGTGAAACAGAAGATACCCTTGCGGAAGGGAAAATTGTGCAAGCTACAGTCCGCAAAGTACAAGGGCAAAGAGCAATTTGTGGACTTGAATCTGGATTGACTGGAATGCTTATGAAAGAAGATTATGAAGATGATTCTAGAGATATTTCTGACTTGTCTGATAGGTTACACGAGGGGGATATTGTTACTTGCAAGATTAAATCAATTCAGAAGAATAGGTATCAAGTTTTCCTTGTTTGTAAAGAGAGTGAGATGAGAAGTAATCGGCACCAGGTTACTCGAAATCTTGATCCCTACTATCATGAAGATCGAAGCAGCCTACAGAGTGAGCAAGACAAGTCCCGAAAAGAGAAGGAACTTGCGAAAAAGCTTTTCAAGCCAAGAATGATTGTTCACCCTCGTTTCCAGAATATAACAGCAGATGAAGCAATGGAGGTTTGTTTTTCTCTAAGAAACTTTGTCTTATTTTAAATTTTAGGTGTACAAAGTTAGGGACCCGAATGTCAATGAGTGAAGATAAAAACATTTTAAGTGGCTATACTTTATTGTTTAGTCACTTTAAAAGTCATGATAAACACCTTTCATCTGGTAAAATGACGATGGACTACCCCATACTACACAATCACACTTAAGAGCCTCAATAGTTGATAGTTACTAAGAAAAGGGAAGAATATTCTTAAAAGGACTTTTACTTGAGCTGTTTTGATTTCTATCTTTTACCAAGATGCTGTTTTGGTTGCATTTAATTATTGGGGCTTTATGATTGTTTCATGATAGCATTAAATATAGTTTCTTTCCTTGTTTTCAAGGCATTTCTTGGTTCATGATAGTATTATTTTTGGTCCTTTGAAACTAACAAATTTTCTCTCGATTTATGATCCTTCAATTTTCGATAAAATTGTATCTTTTTTTGGAAGTTCAAGAAGTTTCATGGCATATCTCCTTTCTGTAGATTATAGATTACCCAATGATTTTGTTTTTTAGCTGAGGTGTAAGCGGAACCAAATTCCTCTACACAGAAAAACGCCCTGCCATCCCTTTTCAACCAAAAATTCCAGTGGACAGTTAAAAAAAAAAAACTACTTCAAGACTTCCTGTTTCCCATAAAATTCCTCCATATTTTCAACATTTTGCAAGGAGTGCAACTGAGAATTGAAAAGTCCATGCTCCCTAGTCCACATTTTTAGAATCATCATGCTTGCATAAGATGCATTACGGGAGAAAATGCGCCCTAGAAGAATTTTGTGTGAGATAATCCGTTAAGATATATAATTATTTTCCTCAAAGTTTTAATATCTATAACTTAGAAAAGAAAGGGGAATGGTGGAATTATGGAGGTCAACAAATGATTAAAGAGAGATTTGGATGAGAAAATTTCGATGAAAAGAAAAACAGAACTCTTTTTAGGGAAAGGTAATGAGAAATGAAAAGTCTTTATCAATGCTCCCAATTCCACCAGGATAATATATATGAAGCCAGATGATCAATAATTTTAGGATTGTGCTTGTGTAAGATGCATCGCTGGAGAAAATGCACCCTAGAAGATTTTTGCGTGAGATGACACGCTCTAGAGATATAATTATTTTCTCAAAATTTTAACGTTAATAACTTGGAAAAGAAATGGGAATGGTGGAATTATGGAGGTAAACAAATGATTAAAGAGAGATTTGGAAGAGAATTCCAGAGGGGTCTCAAGTTCAAATACGACTAATCTGGTACCTAAGATGTTAACTCCACAAAATTTTGACAGAGGTGAGGTCATAAGATGAAAAGACTGTTTTGTAGCATGTTCAGTTAGAGAGGATTTAGAGGAATGGTGTTTTGTGGAACTGATTTTGGGGTCCATGTAAACCTTCTAGTTTATATTTAATACACGAGGGAAGTGATTTTATTTCTTGAATTTCATTTAGTGAAGAATAATGAGTCTTCGAGGATATTTGTTTGAAAATGGTTGATTAGTTTTTCCCCATAAATGTTACTTCTCGTGCACTTCATTCTCTTGTGAAGTCTATTCTAACATTCTTTTCTTTATGGCAGCTCTTATCTGACAAGGATCCTGGTGAAAGTATTGTGCGACCAAGTTCTCGTGGACCTTCTTTTTTGACTTTGACACTTAAAATTTACAATGGAGTATATGCTCACAAAGATATAGTTGAAGGTGGAAAGGAACATAAAGACATAACTAGCTTGTTGCGTATTGGGAAGACCTTGAAAATTGGGGAGGACACGTTCGAGGATTTGGACGAGGTTAGTGGTGTTCTGGTGGTCATATGTCAGCCTTCAATGTGATGCATGTCATAAGTTGTAGAAATTGTTAACGGCCTTTTTGGAATTGTTAATCTCTGGGCTTCTGCATTTAATATTAGAGAACTATCATATGATTGTGCAACTAACGTCTGCATGTCTTGATTTTTTGTTGAAGTTGACATGGCACCTCTATTGAGTCTCTCTTGTATGCCTCCCATAAATGCAGGTGATGGATCGCTATGTTGATCCCTTAGTTGCTCACTTAAAGACGATGCTAAGTTATCGCAAGTTCAGGAAGGGCACAAAAGCAGAAGTTGACGAACTTATGAAGATTGAGAAGTCAGAGTATCCAATGAGAATAGTTTACGGTTTTGGAATTTCTCACGAACATCCGGGTACATTCATTTTGACATACATACGAAGTACAAATCCACACCACGAGTATATTGGGCTCTATCCGAAGGGATTTAAATTTAGGAAAAGAATGTTTGAAGATATTGATAGGCTTGTGGCCTATTTTCAAAGGCACATTGATGATCCCCAGCATGATTCAGCACCATCGATTAGATCAGTTGCTGCTATGGTACCAATGCGGAGCCCTGCAACTGGTGGCTCTTCCGCAGCATCTGCAGGTAGCCCTTGGGGTGGTTCATCGCATGATGGTGGCTGGAGAAGCCAGTCATATGACAGGGATCGTTCTTCTACTCCTGGGTCTAGAACAGGTGAGGTCCACAGAATGTTGCTTTCAAAACTTATTTAATATTTTATGAGAACTATGAACTGCATTCAAATTACTTCTCTGCTCTAGGAATGTTCAGGTTGAATAATGTGATTAAACTTTAGCCTTAGATGGCTGAATGTAGTTTTTCCTCTTTCCTTATTGGATCCCTGTGGTTTTGGGTCCTGCTAGAGTTTCATAGCATTGTATGCCATTTCTTCTCCCAATTCATTTTAACCTTTTGATTTGTCATTATATTGTCTTGCAGGGCGACATGACAACAGAAATTCTGGTAGTCGTGATGGACATCCTAGTGGTCTGCCTAGACCATACGGTGGACGTGGGCGTGGTCGAGGCTCATACAATAACAATAGAGGGAACAATGAGAGGCCAGATTCTAGTTACGATTCCTCCAGGTGGGATTCATCTTCCAAGGATGGGGATGATGGATTGAGCAACTTCCCAGGAGCCAAAATTCAAAATTCACCAGGCAAAGAAGCCTTCCCCGGTGGCTGGAGCTCTGGTGGGAGTGGGGGTGGTGGTGGTAATGGATTAAGCGACAGTGGTGGCGGTGGCGGTGGTTGGGGTGGGACTGGGAATTCCAAAGGGAATTGGGGTGGTGGTGGTGGTGGTTCTGGTCCAAGTAACAGTGGGGGATGGGGTTCTTAATCCTAAGCTTTGTTTTCTCTGCGATGACAAGCTGACGACGGCGACAATCGACAGTCGAGATGGCTAATAGTTCTCTCTAGTTTCACTCATGGTTGTTGTCTAGTTTTTGGCTGTCTACTGCCACAGTTAAATCATCATTCAGCCGATGATCTTTAGACGGTACACACTTCAGCTGATTGTCTTCTGCCTTTAATTAACACTCGGTGACAAAATTAACTGGTTGGGAAGGGGGGGAGGGGGGGAGGGTGGGTTTAGGGTGGTGGTTAATATAGGAGAAGGTAAATGCTCTGTGAAGGCTGTATTTATAATGCTTCTCTTTTGTCCTAAAAGCTTTCTGGTATAAACCGATTGATGTGAATACTTAAAGAGCCCCAAAATTCTACCTTTGCCTAATGGGAACATCCTTTTTCTGCTATACCTTATTATCATACAATATCTCTCTTTATAAAGATGCGAAGAAAATGTTGTTTAAATTAACAATGAAGTTTCATTGTTATAAATTTTGGGTGGATTATAATTTAGAGTAAACAACCATAAAGTAGACGTGACAATAAGAATATCTTTAATAGTTTCATTCAAGCTCGACATAATTAATCTTACTTGTGGAATGATTCGAATTTCAAACAAGTATTATTGTTTGAGATATTTGATCAAGAATCATTCCGCTTTAAACTGATTTTAATAGTTTCATTCAAACTTTGACATGTTCAATCTTAGAATTATTCGAATCTCAAACAAGTATTCTACCTTTGACAAATGTTCTTGCTTGAGATATTAAGAAGAATCATTCAAGCTTAGACATGATCGATCTTGTTCTTGCTTGAGATATTAAGAAGAATCATTCAAGCTTAGACATGATCGATCTTTGTTTGTATTGTTTGTAGAGTCTCAAACAAGTGTTCTTGCGTGAGATATTTAATAAAAAAGAATCATTCAAGCTTAGACATGATCGATCTTGTTTATAGAGTGAATCGAATCTCAAACAGTGTTAACAAAGTAATCTGAATCTTCCTCCGTGATTAATATTTTCCAAATTGTGTAATAGAAGATTTGTAGTGCAACATTATCCCTTTGTTAGTATAACGTGAAGTGAATAATTCAGAGAATTTAACCCGTTTTCTTAATAAAATTACTGGATGGAGAACAGAGGTAAAACTGCTTCAAATTTAATAAAAGAAGAAAGGTAAAAAAAACGTTAACAAAAGCACAAGATTAATCAGCTGAAAATTGAATCAATTTGGAACAATTAACTTCCACTTAACTAAGTCAAAGTTTAATTGGTGTTTTAAGTACAACAGAGCCGCCGTGACAAAACAACATAAAACTCATTTGTAGATAAATCTATAGTAGCTACTATTCATTTTAGTCATAGCACAGCAGCCCTTTCGAAGCTCGGGAATCGAAAACAGCAGCCCTTTCGAAGCTCGGGAATCGAAAAGAACGAAGAATACAGAACCTACTAATATGACAAACTACTTCCATTGAAGAGTCTGTATATGCGACTATCTATGTAGAGTACCCTGCAAAGAGGGGTCTGGGTGGTTTTAGGAAGAGCCAGTGTTGGAAGTTTTATAGGATATCACATTACTTGATACTACCAAGATCGACATCTCCAACGAAAGCAAAAGCCAGCTCGGTATGGCAGTAGTAGTAGTCGATAGAGTGGTTCGATTACCGAAACAAAAAATGGCCTAGAACTTGAAATCTTTCTTCTTAGATTTTCCATCCTTTTCCTGCATCTTACGTTTTCTTTTCTTCTCATTCTGCAAGAATAAATGTTCTAATTGTTAATATGTTGAGTATCAAGAACGAATCGGTCGACTCGTTTAACAAAAGAATCACACCTCCGCAACCATGTCGCTGAAGTCCTCCCTCTGACTCCGCAACTTCTCCTCTTCCCTAGCTTCCTCGTATCTGAGAGAAGAGAAAAAAAGAGAATTAGGAGCCCAATTATGACATGAATTAGTTAGTTACACATCTAAGTGGATGTCGCATACTTCGCAGGTAGAACATTTTCCATAGCTTCCAATTCTTCGGGTCGTAAAGTAACGTCCACTTTATCAGATTTTTGACCTCTAAGCAAATCAACCTGGGAACATACATAGCCATGAAAAGGAAGATTATTACTAATTGTCGACAAATAATCACCGAGTTCATATTATACCACGAACCATTAAAAAGTTTCTTACCCTTTTGGCTCCCGTCTTATCTTGAGTACCGCCACTAATAACATAACTGAAAACAGACATGCACATCAAAGTGTCAATTTGAGTACAATAAGAAAGAAAAGTTGATGGCTATCATAAAAAGATGAAACGAATAAGTTGCATACGTATGTGTAGTTCCAAGCAATGTCCCAGGAGCAACCTTCTCTTCTTTTTCTTCGAGAACCTTCAAGAAACCGAACAGTAAATCACATTGCAGTTTGAAATAAACAATAGAGAGAAGGCAAGTTCTGATGAAGTCACATTCAGAGATTATTTACTTACTTGGTAAAGAGGCCTGTCCGGTTCCTTCCTCTGTTGTTTCCGAAGGTCAATAACATCTGGTGTCTCCACACCAGTAGGAGTGCTGCATGAAACAGACAAGTCAATTATTGAACTGCTTAAAGGCTTAATCGCATACGTCCAGTATACGGTATAAGCAAAACATTGGAACTCGTTACTGAATCAATCCGGAGAATGGAGAATAACTGGGAAGCATAGACAAAGTCCAAAGATCAGGTTTGGATATCCAAAAGGTCTGGGACGCACAACCACAAAGGCATGTCTCACCACAGCCGCATTTAAGACAAGGCTAACTAAGCATTCAATCTATTTGTTATACTGTTTTAATTGTTTAACTTCAATCTATTTTAGTCAGTATATGAAATTGACGGAAGCATTCAAAAATATCGAAAGCCTTCATATTAATTGAAGTGTCTTAATCCAAGATGCCACATATGTTTTGATCTTGTGGAAATAACATGTAATATCTTTAACTTTTCTTTATCGTGCCCATCCTTGGAAATTTGAACATTCAAGAATATTTTACTTTTTATCCCTTTGCAGAATTCCAACAAGAATATTTCATTTTCTCATATAATTACATTCAAGATGATTACACCAAGAAAGAGATTTCAAAATTGAGCTTGAGATAAAATGGCAATGATGGCATACCTCGATAGACTATCCACAGATTCAATACCATCTTGCATTTCCTCTTCTTCAATTTCCTCCTCATCCTCCTCCTCCACCTCTTCCTCTTCCTCTTCCTCCAAATCACCCCAATGCTTGGTCTTATCAACGGGTTCCTCCTATACAAGGCATCAAGCAATCAAATAACAGACATATACAAAAATCTCAAAAGTGGAAGTTGAGAGAATCACACTACTCTACTTTTAAGAACTTAGTATAACAGAATGTCTTAAAATATGAGTGCGGCACAGAAGGTGTTGCCATAAAAAAAAAAAAAAAATCACATTCGAGCAAAAAAGAAGAAATCAGCAAAGAAGCATTTCAAACGTAGAGAAACTAAGAGAAAATATTGGATTCAATAAATTCTGTCTTCAGACTGGTGTTCACCACCTACTTATGTAATTCTACCCCTTTCCTATAGTTTGAGGAAGTCTTATAAGAACTTAAAGGTTGGGAATTTTAGTTTTTTCTTTTCATGTATCTATCCTTCACTAAATCAATAAACAATCTGTTGTTAGACAAATAAATAAGATACCTCGTAGTTAGCTTGCTCCTGCTGCTGAACACCAAACACATCTCCATACAGTGGACGGCCATACTATCCATAAAAACAGAGAACAATGGTAAGATTTAGAAGACAGACGTTAACCTGAAGATAGAATACGACAGTCAAATACATACTTCATCGACGGGAGGCTTTCCCCAGCCACCAGGATGGTAACCAAAGCTAGCTCCAGGTGGAATGGGAGCATTGAGTCCTGGAATTTTTAGATCTGGGTAGGATGGTGGAGGACCGTATCTCTATGAAAGGAAAATATAATTTATAAGATCGCGAATAAACAGCCTTAAGAAAACATGAGATCAGATTTGAGTTTGACGATAAATTTAACTGTCCAACCTGCATGTTAATGAGCCATGGGGGAGGAGCGCCCTCTGGCATACCAAGTGCTTCTTTGAGTTCTTGTGATAGCATGCCGGGTTTCATCTCCCTTAACTTAACCTGTACACCGAGGAACAAATAAGTGAGGAAGGAAGAAATCTCCATTAGGATTAACTACTCAGTATCTGAACAAATAGCTACTTCTGTACCAGCTTCTTCTTTATAAACTTAAAATGCACACTGGCCCAAACAATATCTTAATGCATGAAAAACACCCAGATGCACTGGTCCTAGAGACCAAAGAGCATCGTTGATAAATAATAGTAACAACCCAATACCTCGAATTCTTTCCCTTCATAGTACAGATCTCCAAGTGTTGTCAGCTTTGGCTTCGTTTGGTACTTGAAAAAAGCATCATGAAGAACCTAGTGCACAAGAGCCAATTCAATAACTTAGAATGTTCACGTTCTGGTCACAACAACACAGACACCTAGCAGCAGAACACGAGTATCGAAATATACATCAAATCAAAATCAGAAGGCAGTAAAAACCTGATAATCAATATCCATTTTTCCCATCTTTGGCTGCATTCGTTCTCTTTGCTTTTGCTTCAACTTCTTACTATCCTCTTTTTCTATGTAGGCCTGCATAACAAATATAATAGAGAATTGGCAGTGTCAGGCATCACATTGGGTCTAACATGAGTATAGAAATAAATTGAGACTGACTACAAGATTTTGCCAGCATAACAAGAACTAGAAATTGGTGAAAGCAACCTGTCTAATCTTCTCAATTCCTGTTGCTGCAATAAAATCTGGAAGTTGGAATGGCTGTTTTTCAATACCACGCTTCCCCTACAAAATAAATCCAACTACCAATAAGATGCAATCTAAACTAAGATATTATTTCATCACTAGAATTATAGAATGCAGGGTCACTAATAACAGAAAGGCATCTAAAACTTCAAAGCAGACTGATTATTGATTTGATGTAGATATATATATATAAGAAAAAGAATCATGCAATACACAAGTAAACCCGCCCATCAATGCAACATAAAAATGTTCACATCCCAACCCACACCACCAAATATACTAAAACAGAAATAATACAAGGGTGCTCTTAGCAAACACCTACAAGTTCCGGCTCCAACAGTGTCACAGCCACACCCCTGCAAGAACCAGATATGTATACATAAGAGAAACCTTATCAACACGATCTTCCCTCACTCAACTCTCTCATTCCCTCGTGTTTAACATACCCATCAATTGTACATAGACGTATATTCTGTAAATTTAATATTAGTGGAATTACTGACCTGTAAAAATTTCCTTTTCTGACACCAATGCCTTGGCACAGGAACTGTGTTGCGATAAGATTTTAGATAAACAAGTAACTTGGGATCAGCTGCAGTTGCATCCCATATCTGAACAGTAAATAAATTAGCACATAAGAATGCCATAACTAGAAAATGTAGCCAGACACTCTGGTGTCAGGTTTTTATGATGATTTTTTAAGGTAAAAGAAAAGTGCAACGTGTCCATTTCTACCTCAACAACATCGGGTCTCAAACAAATCTGCTTCAGTTCTGCAATCTTCATACGCCGTTGCAACTGAAAAATGACAAAAACAATTTACTTTCAGATCATTGTGGCAAGTAGTAACCAAAGCGTTATTTATATGTATAAGATAATAGCCTATTACCTTCTTTTTCTTGTTTGATAAGCCTCCTTTTTCCTTTTGCTGGTTATCAAGTTCTTCATCATCAGAATCTGAGTCCGACTTCTTAGATGCTGCATTTTGGGCAGACTCATCTTTGTTTTCATTCTCCTATGTAGAAATATCAACCAGAAAGTTCAGAGGATTGGACACAGAAGAAATTGAATTGATAACTAAAATTATTCTGGCAAGCTTATACTTACCTCAACACCAGCTACATCACTGAAATTGAATTTCTCAAAAACTCTTCTAAATTCTTCGTCCAAGCTATCATCTAATTCAGCCTTCTCAGGTACATATTCAATTTCTACTTTCTCAACAACCTATAATTTCAAAAGCAAACAAATGCGTTATGAATGGTTAGTTAACATTAAAAAAATCATTTAACTATATGAAATGAAGCAAGGATTTGGGATTTGTGAGGTGAGAAGAATAATAAAATCTTCAGAGAATCAAAAGATTCCATAGTGATGTTTGGACCTTTATCAGGTTCTATGTTTCCCTTTAGGCATCGGTTTCTAAGGTCTTTTGTAACTATTCGTTTCGTATCATTTTACTTTATTGGAACCCTTTTCTTTTGATCGAGTTCATTTTGTGGGCTTCGTTTTCTTTATACCCTTGTTTTTTTTTTTTTAATTTTTTTCTCAAATGAAAATTTAGTTTCTTATAATAAAAAAATGAAGCAAAGAAGAAGAAGAGGGAATAGACCCATGTATGTTTTTGCTATCCAACAATCAAAATTAAGTTAAATTAATTGTTCTTAAACAAAATCCAGGCAGAAATATCAACTTAAATCCCCTTCTAATGGTTGAAAATGATAGATTTCTTGGTGCTACTTGCTTACTATACTAACTCACAGAGGGTATCGTCTTAATTTCAACTTAAATCCCCTTCTAATGGTTGAAAATGATAGATTTCTTAGACATCAAGCTCCGTCCCACATGACAACCCACACATTCTACCTATCTAGTTCAATCTTCGTACCAAAAACTACTGCTAGCCAACAATACCGAAGCATTGAGAAAATGTATCCCTAAAACCACAAACCGACGAACATGTCCACAACGTAAAATAAAAATAAAAATAAAAAACCAAAAACCTGGAGTAGATCATCGTTCTCCTTTGTGTCATCACCAGAAGCATCACTATCCTCTCCACCAGCAGCCTCCTTCACCTTAGAAGCCTTCTGGTTCTTCTTCTGCTTTCGCCGACGACGACGTCGTTCACTTTCCCGCGATTTCTTGGCGGCGCCAGATTTAGGGTTAGAATTAAGGTCGAAATCACCACCATTCGCGACAACTCCATTCGGCTGAGAAATCACCTCCGCCGTCATGCTGGGATTCAAGCTTCCCACAAATCAATCAGAAACCAAACCGCGGACACGACTATGAGAACGAAGAACAGAAGAAGAGAAGAAGAAGAAAGGGATTCCCGAAATTACGTCAAATACTTACTTAAATATCCTATTTTTAAAAATGCTAAATTTTAGAAAAATAAAGCTAAATTTTGTATTTTCCACATTTAATAATACAACTTTTTTTTTAAAAAAAAAAAATAGTAATTTATTTTAAAATATTCCTAAAATTTAACAAATTAGCTTAAAAGAAAATTTAAAATATGCTCATTTAAAATTTTTTAAAGGTTACAATAAAGAGTCCGTTTATGAATTAAAAAATTATTTATTTGGACGCCTCTCTTCCTCCTCAACCTCATCTCATTTATAAAGGTGTGAAAACCTCTCTAGTAGACACGTTTTTAAATTGTGAGACTAACAACGATACGTAACAGGCCAAAATAGACAATATCTGCAAGCAATGGACTTAGACTGTTACAAATGATGTTAGAGTCAGATATCAAGCGGTGTGTCGGCATAGGCTCTAGGTCCCTAAGAGGGGTGGATTGTGAGATCTCACGCTGGTTGGAGAGGGGAACGACTCATTCCTTATAAGAGGATGAGAAAATCTCTCAGTAGTAGTTGCGTTTTAAAATCTAGAGGGAAGCCCTAAAAGGGAAAAGAGACGAACATTATTTACTAGCAATGGGCTTGAGCGGTTACAATAGTCCCTCTCGAAAACCAATATTTTTAAGTATAAGTACCCAATATAACTCGTGCTTTTGTGTACAAACCAGTATAGATTAAGTACACACGAATATAGTCAATAATCAATCTATTTCCAAAAAAAAGAATACGTACGTTGTTTTTTTTTTAAAGTTTAACAGAAAATTTTTAAAAAATTTAAATAAAATACAAAAGCTTTTTTTTTTATATATATATATATTTTTTCATACATGTCGTAAATATAATAATATGAGTGCTAATTTTAAATTAATATATAAATAATTTTTATATTCATTATTTTATTTTTATTTAATACAATTATTTTTTATCAAAACATATATTTATTATGAAAATTTGTCGAAACTCCTAATTTTTAATAAAAATTGAGCACAAATAACCAAACAACAAATTAATTTTATATACCGTACAATTGATTCTGCCCTAAAATAAATATTTAAATCCAATAACTAAAAGAACATGAACTCAACCGGGTCATGTTTCGTTCAAATAAATGAAAACTTTATGAACTTAATTCATTTGTGAGTTCTCCTAAATATTGGCACAAGATCGTTCATAGGTAGCTTAGGTTTTTGTTATGTACTAATAATACCAATCAATGAATTGGCAAAAGACCGTCATCCATAAGCATATAATCACGTAATCTACAGTCAGATAATTAAGAACGGCACAACGTTGAAATTCAGATCTATTCCATAACATTGATAACTTTTCCTCTAAATAAATCTACAGAAAAAAGATACATTTACTTCATAGAACATATAATAACCCTGATGGACCTTCCTTCATTAGCCTACACTATGGACCTTACTAACCTGGATGGACTAGAAATTCAAGCACCTAGCTTCCCATGACACCTCTGTGTTGAAATCAAAGTGAAAATTAAACCGAATGTATAAGGTAAAAATGAGAATGAGGGTTTTCCAAAAGTACAAACTTACTAACGAAATTCAAGCACCTAGCTTCCCATGACACCTCCTTGTTAGACAAACACGACTCTCCGTAATGGTATAATATTGTCCACTTTGAGCATAAACTCTCGTGGCTTTGCTTTGGACTCCCCCAAAAGGCTTCATACCAATGGAGATAGTATTCCTCACTTATAAACCCATGATTATTCCCTAAATTATCCGCGACGTGGGACTTTCATCATCTAACATCCCTAATCCTTTATCCTCTAGGGGGGGGGGGGGGGG